CTGCCCGCCCGGCCTCCCCAGACCCCCGCCCCGGTTCTCAGCCCCCCCCTCGCCACGGGTCCCAGCCCGCTCCCACGGCGCTGCCCCCTGCTCCGGTGCACAGAGAGGCCACAGCTCTGTCCATACACTTTATTATCACCGTTTGCATTCAGTCTCCTCCAACACTACCACGAGAGCTGAGCGGTGAAAGCGGGGAGGGCCCAGGCTACGGTGCAGGGCAGGGAGAGCGACTGTGCCGCCGGGGGCGGCTCCGACAGAGGGTGAGGGCCGGGGGGTCCTACGCTGGGGCCTGGGCTCCCACAGTCAGGGAAGGGTCAGTGGGGAAGAAGGTGGGCACAGGCTGTGTGTTTGCAGAGCACTGGACTCAGTGTAGGGTAGCACAGGGCTGCTGGCCCGAAGACCAGCGCAAAGTTGGCGCTAGGACAAGCACGCGATGCCCCACACAGCACAAAGCAGGGTTAGGTGTCTTGCTAGTGTTACTCACCTTCCTCAAGTCCTCCAGCTCCTGGACAGAGGACAGCTAGGCCAGGAAGGTGCTCAGCACATCCATAGCCACAATCCTGCCTGCACAAACTTCTAGGGATCTGCATCTCCTCTCCCCCAGGCTGTGCCCTGCAGGCCAAGCTCCTAGCCTGTCCCTGACGTGCCTGAGGGGTTGCACAGTTTCCAGGACATAGCAGTGTTTTAGCCAGGGTGAGGCAGGAAAGCAGCCAGAGGGAACCGGGATGAAAGGTTGCTCTCCTGCTGGCGGGTCTGGTGGGTCCCCAGAGCCAATGCTGGGACCCTGTGGTCCCATATCCCCTGGAGCAAGGGCATACCCAGGGAAGAGCTGAGGGGACAGAAATGACTAGTTGAAGTACAGAAGTGATTCTGGATGAACAATAGTGTTGCATTGGATCCCCTCCCACTCCCTTCTGCAGAGATCAGTCGAATGAGATGAGCTGGGCTTCTCCACTGCCCTGTGTCTGCTGCACTTGGGCTGGTGCCTGCTGGGGCTGCTGCTGCTGGGGGGGCCCTCCAGCAGGTGCCATCTGGAACAGAGAGGACAGCTCTGGTAGCAGACGGGCCTCTCCTCGGGGCCCTGGCCTCCCCTGGGGCCAGCAGAACTCACCTGTTGATACATGGGCTGCTGTCCAGACAGGTAGGACTGCTGCGGCGGCAGGCTGCTCAGCGCTGCTTCCTGTCCTGGCAGGGTGGACATGAGACCCTAGCAGGGGGGAGAGGACGGCAGTCAGACCAGCTAGCAGACGCTTGCAGCACCCAGCAGTGCAGCAGAAAAGGCCCAAAGCAGGCTGCTCCCCCAAGCCTCTTGCACGGGCAAACCTGCTGATGGCCTTTTCCATCCCTAAGTGCCAGCAAGGCTCTACTAGCTGGAGACCAGCCCCCACAGCAACCAGTACCTCCCCCTCCCAGTGCCCAAGACACTGGGAGCAGCTGTCAAGTGGCCCATGTGGCAGCGGGTGCTCACCTGCATGCTGTATGGCTGGTACCCCATGGAAACCGACTGGCTGCCCATGTAGCCCATGGTGCCCGACTGGGGTGCCTGCGAGATGGCGGGGATACTCTGCGACTGCGATGCTGCATTCTGAGGAGGAGATGCTGGTGAAAGGTGGAACAGGGCAGCTACGGCTGCTCTCAAATACCTCAGGAGCACCAGGACCAGCAGGGTCTCCCCACTCCTCCAGAAGCCAGGGCATATCTTCCCTCCACACAGTGGGGAGCTCAGAGTCTGGGATTGGCCCATACAAAAAAGCAGCAGCAGCAGCTCCAACAATCTGGGACCAACTAGCATCTTTCCTCTTGTGCTCAGAGCCCGCAAACTTAGGATCACCTGTGCCTGCCTTCCCGACCCCCCCCCCCCCCCCCCCCCCAAAGTCTGCCTCAGCTGCGGATTGCAAGATGCTCTGCTACGACTGGGGGCATGGAGGCTGCATTCACTTGCCTGGTAACCCTGCGTTGGAGTTGGCTGGTAGGATGAGTAGGCTGGGGTTGTGGTGGGCACCGCTTGCCCCTGCTGAGCCACCTGCCCACTGCCTGCCCCCGGAGGGTACATATAGGCATTCACCATGTTGGGATCTAGAGCAGAAATGGCATAGATTGACACAATCACCTTGTCCTCAGCCTCCACCCACATGCAATCAGCTTGTTCACTTACCTGTCCCTGTGACAGGCATTGCTGTATAAGGCCCTGTGCCCCCTTGTGCTGCCTGGTTCAGGTACACACTGTGCATGGGAGAGCCCTCCACTGAGCTGGCTGGGCTGAAGGTGCCAGGGAAGCTGGTGGGCCCAGAGGGTTGGTAGATCACCCCACTGGCTGCTGGCATCGCCTGGAGCTATTAAGAAAAGCAAGCTTTAGGCCATGCTCCCAGGGTGCTGGCAGGAAGGTCTCTGGCACAGCAGCCATACTTGGGCATAAGGCAGCGAGAAGGCTGGCATCTGGGCTCTCATTTGGATGGTCTGCTTCTGCTGTTCCAGGCGCATCTGCCTCTCCTTCTCCTGCTCCTGCAGCCGCTGGATGGCCAACTGACGCTGCATCTCCAGGTACTCCTGCAGGAACAGTGCTGTGACAGTTAGAGCCCAGGACACAGCAGCATCCCCTCCTGCCAGGGCAGCCCATCCTTGCCAACACCGGGCTGGCCCAAGGTGCAGGCAGGGCCTGCTGCCTGGTGTGGCCCTGGATTCCCTGGAAATGCTTCCCTGCCTCACCTGCTTCTTCTGTCTCATGATCTCCAGCTTCTGGGCCAGCTGGATCTGGCGCTGGCGCTCTGCCTCCTCTGCTGCACGGCGCAGCTTCTCCCGGTGCTCCTCCCGCAGTGCGTTCAGAGCCCCACGCGCATCCCGGATTTGGGCCAGTTTGTCCTGCAGGCCTTCATAGTACACTGGGGAGGAAAATACAGTCTCAGGGACCCTTCCAGGGCAGAGCAGTTGGGCTAGGCACTGACCATCCCTGCACGCTGCACTGGCTTCTCCCAGACAGGCTGTGCCAGGGGAATGCCAAACACTGGCTCTGGGGGAAACCCCAACAGCCGCCTGCTGCCTGCTCCTCCCCAGGACACCGTTTCCAAGCCCATGGCAGGGCAGCATTTGCCAGCTCCCACGTACGCCTGCGCTCATCCAGCTGGTTGAGCAGCTCCAGAAGCTGGGGGTGCATGTTGTTAATGGACTGAAATAGGGAGAGTACTGCAGAGTCATTGGTGATGCTACGACCACGCATATGGTTGCTCTTCATGCGGTTGACAAAGGTGGTGACCGCGTTCTGCAGGGCCTTCAGGAACTGCTCGTGGTTCTCTTCAGACTCACCGTTCTGGTACTGCTGCTGGAACGAGAGGACAGCCAGTCAGCCTGAGTTCTCCCATGCCAAGAGTCAGCAGCACTCCCGTGGAACCGCGTGACTGCGCTAAATGAAGGAGTCAGGCACTTCACAGGTACCTTCGCCCTACCGCTCCAGCTGCCAGAGGCAAGACACAGGCCCAGGCTTCCTCTTACCTCAACAACACTGAGCGGGGTGGGGTGGGCCTCCCCAGGCTGAGCCGTGGGCTCTGTAAGGGATAGAGGTGCCGATGGGGTGGGGCTCTTGCGAACTTCCTCTTGTTTCTTCTCCCAGTAGTTGCGGTTCAGGTACCGAGCCAGCTGCCATAAAAACAATTGGAGATAACGAGCATCACAGCCTAGCTAGGAGCAAGCCTGTGCCATGGACTAATAGGGCCTGGGTTCTTACCTCAGGGTCAATGTCCTCAGCCAATGGCGCAGATGAATTCTGGAAAGAGACAAATGAGGAAAAAAGCAAGTCCAAGCAAACCAGAGAATCACAACTCCCACACAGATCCATTCAGGCCTGGGCACGCATAATCACAAGGGCTGGACATCAACAGGAGAGAACGGAAGGGGACGGCCAACTCCTTCAGTCAGACACATGCTGTGGCCACTAGAAGCAGCAACCTAAGCCACATAGCAGCAGGGGAGGTACCTCAATGCCAGCTGAATGCAGACTTCCTTGCTGAAAACATTGTAGTGCTGAGGAAGAGCAATGGACTGAACGGGGCAAAGCTTTTCTCTCAGAATAGGGATTAAATCCAACCCAAGCAGGGCTAACTTGGGCTAGGGAACTGGCCTGTTAAGTGTCCAGCCGCTCCATGTTCAGGGGCTGCTATGTACATACCACAGGTGGGGAGTACAGCGTGCTGACTGGGGGGGCTGATGACGTCACAGGTGTGGGCTCAGCCTTGGGGTACATGGAGTAGGTTGTTTTCTGCCTCTGCAGAAGAGGAAAAACAAACAAAGAAAAACCCAAACAGCTCATGGATTGTCCAAACTCCTCCAACTCAGTCAGCCCACAACAACTTGGGATACAGTGTGTGGGTGAGGCTCCTCCTGCTGGCCAGGCAGAGTCAGCAGAACCAGCCTCACGACGTGTCCAACTCGTGCAGGCTAACAGGTCACAGGGCTTGCAGCCTGGGTGCAGCCTGTTCCTGGGATTTGGTCCTCACTGCTCTGGGGAAGGACATCGAGTTGCATCCCACACCCACAGAATCAACTAGACCTGCAACAAAGCATGTGCCTGACTCCACTTTCACCTTCTCATCCCACAGGTCCCAAGACATGCTCACACCAGGACACGCCCACAGATTGTTATCGCACAGCTAGGAGATGCCCAGCACATCTGGGCTCTATGGACACAACCACCCTCAACTGCCAAGCAGGGTACGAACCATTCTCTCCTTCTCTTCAGCCTCTGACTGAGACAAGGCAATAGCTAGCTGGAGCTCTTCCTCCTCTTGCAGAGCTGTTTCGTCACGCTTTGGAGGCAGCTGCAAGCAGAAAGAGGAGAAGGGGCCGCTAAAGGGATCAATAAGCAGGAGAGAATCAGAGTCACCTACAGGGCAGCCACTCACCTGGGACTGCTGAGAGAGAGGGCTGGTCAGGTACTCAGGGGGCAGTTCAGAGGTGGCAGCAGCTTTGCCCTCAGCTTTCCTGTAGTCAGAAAGACGCAGCAGTACAGAACGTGAACTGGGCAAGCCTCCCATGCTCCTTCCATAGCGCTGAAGCCCCAGCCCCACACAGTACTATAGCTGTAACCCCTGTTCCCAGAAAGGAAAGGAACCCAGACCAGTCTGCACAGCTTGGGAAACCCTTGCTCTGTTCTTCAGAAAGGTGGCCCCACACCAAGTTCTCCCCTCACAGTTCCAGCTGTTGCAGGCAAAGTAATGTGCCACAAGGGTACTGACTTGTTGAGATGCTCATAACAGGGTTCACAGACTCTCACTTCCTTCTCAATCCCAAACTTGGGAATGGTGGAATACTTGGAGGAACATTTGCCACAGAAGATCTGCCCGCAGGCCCGGCAGTGATGCTGCAAAGGATGGGAGACGTCAGTGGGGCAGTGAGACACCCCCCCTTCACCATTAGATGGCATTGCTTAAACACTCCTGGCACCTCCCCGCCAGTGGCCAGGGAACATGGCCTAGCCCAGATATGTTTCCATGCAGGCTTAGGGAGTTCTGCAAGTCCTGGGGGAACTTCTGCAGGACAAGGGAACCCAGAGGGGCAGAGCGACACCCACCTTCCGTGTCACAACGCCAAACTGCACTCGACACCTGTGACACTCCTCAGCATCTACCCAGTCTGGAGCCTGTCAAGGTTAAGGAAACTTGAGTAAGGAGAGACACAAGCCCTCAAGGACAGTGCCTTCAGAGAACCTTCAGGAATGGGGAGGCAGGAAGCATTTGCAGCTGAACAGGAAATGCTCTTTTTGCAAATTGTCACCTCTCATGTTACTAGACACTATAATGCTTTTCCAGTCAGCAAGAGATTTTCTAGGAACATGCCTGTACAGCAACCCATTTAGCAATACCCTGATATCATGTTCAGACTGCCATGCTGCTGGAAAGCCACTGAGCAGGCCCTTTCTACAGGGCACTTAGCAAGATGAGACTAACTTTCCTAATCAAATTCCACTCAGGAAAGTGGGCTCTGTTTCCATCAGTTGTCCCTCCCTCTGGTACTTTTAGGCGGGAAGGAGAAGCCTTCCTAAGTTGCTGTACACCATCCTGTAATTGGCCACATGCCAGCTGGCAGATACACCTCCTAGCAAGGTCTCTAATCTCAGTGAAATGGAGGAATGCAAGGACTGAAAGCTTAGTAGCAAAAGGGCCACAACAGCAAGGTCTGTTCCACAGTGCCAGCACCTTCCCCCCCAGCAGAGCTCACCCTTTCTGCAGCAAACATGGCATCGCTCTCTTTGAACTCTGGGAACACGTGACCTGTGGGAGAAGTGACAATATCCTGCTGTGAAGGTACTCTGGGAGGCTGTGGTGCCAGGTTGGAGCGTTGTAGGTCCCCACCCCACATATCAAATCCAGCACAGCATTTCTACGTGGGGAAAGAAGTATGTTGCATGGGAATACAGGGCTTTGAAGCCTCACTGCTCAAACAGCAAGCTATGTTGCTCGAGGTGGGACCGGAAACTCCAGGTTTTGCCACTCTCTGGGGAGGTTCCAAATGCTTCAAGCACAGAAAGACAGAGGCAGAAACACATCCCTTCCTTCATGGGAGAACACCGCCATCCCCAGGACAAGAGAGAAGGTGTGCTATTGACACTCTGTCAGGAAGAAGGAACTACATATTCCCCAACCTAGAGGTAGAAAGGGAAGCAGGGAGAGGAAGGAACTACTCTATCATAAATCCTTCCCAGAGGAAACACTGATTTGTTGCCAGTTTCCAGTAGAATATTCCCAGCTCCTGCTGTCCAGGTATTGCTGCCAACCCTCAACCCCTAGCTGGGCTGGAGGCTCAGAGCAAGGCAGCCCCCTAACCCCGGAACAGGGATAAGAGGGATGCCTTCTCTCAGCAGTGAGATCCAGTCACTTCAAGAGGTTTATTTGCTATCAGGCACTAAGAAAAGGCCCTGTATTATAAGCCCAGATTTCACTAACACCTGTCTGGGTCCCAACACCCATTCCTTCTCCTACAAAGCTACTACTGAGCAGAGCTGCTTGGCCAATGCCCACCCCTGCTTTGCCCACAGGGTCCTCACCTTCAACCTTCATGATCTGATAGGTGTCCTGCACCACCTTGTATTTAGGCTCATTGCGGAAGGCATGAGCCCAGGCCTGGATGAGGTACAGGATCTTACTGCGGACACTTGTCTCCACTTGTCTCTGCACAGAAGGGGGAAAAAAAAAAAAAACTGACAAAGAGATCCTGAAACCCAAGGGATGACGTGTGTCACCCAGAAGACGAGCCGAAAATAGCACTCATGGAGGGAGACTTCAGAGTACTTGTACAAGGTAAGAGTTTTCAAAAAGCTGAAAGACAGATAGTTCAGCAAGAAAGACTACACAGTCCTTCAGCTTCCCCACTTCCCCCTTCAGCACAAACATCTTTCAGAGCAGCACGCACCAACTTGAAAAGAGGTGCAGTTATGGTGCTTTGGGGAAACGTCCCTAGAGACTTTAATAGTTGCTCCCCAAGGCAGGCATGAGCACTAGCCTGCCCAGCATCTTTGTTCACCTCCTCACAAGAGGAAACTGCAAGAGCTACAACTACCCAGCTGGACAGAAAAGCACAGTCTGCCTCACCCGGATTCTAACAGGGCACCTCAGACTCACAGCTGGAAGGTGCTGGTGCCAAGCGGTCAGCAACTCCAGCTCAAACATTCCTGTCCAGGAACATCCAAAGCTACCTCAGGATATGATGCAATAAAGACAGTTGGGAAGTTTGCCCTTTGGAAGCAGGGATGCCTCTATTGCAACTCAGGAAGCAGGAGGAAACTTGGCAAGCCTGTTGCCATCCCAGCCAGCCTGCGAGAGCAGCCCTGTCATCAGCTGACCAAGTCATCCTGTATTCACGTGACTGGCTGCTCCAGAAACCCCCGGGAAGTGGAAAAGCATTGTCAAGCTCCTAATTCAGCTCAGCCCACACAAGTAGTACAACCTAGTGACGGCTCCTAGCGCTCCAAGTTTCTAGAAGATCTGCCAAAATCCTGCTTTCCTCAGATGTCACAGATCTCAGTGCCATCAGAACTAAAATCATTTTACCGCAGCTACAAGTTCAAACGCAGTAAAGTTCCAAGCGTAGGAGTAGAATGGGTCTGGGACAGTTATGAAACTACTAAGGCAGATAAGGACGGGAGAGAATCTCAAAATCTCTTAATCTGTTCCTATCTCATCTCCTCGGTGCTTGCAGTGGCTGCAGTATTACACCTGGCCTTCACATTGCAGCATTCCTATTTCAACATGAGATACGACATAAAGGCTGAGTCAGCCTATGACAGGAAGATGACAGAAGAGAGGCACCCTGCTACATGTGAGATGAGAGCAGAGCTCACTCGACAAATACCTGGGTCGTGTGGTTGCCTGTTTCTGACAGAAGCCAGAGATTGTAAGAAAGGAACGGCACAACTCTAACATGCTCCTGTCAGGACACTGTTATTCTAGGTGCTGGGAACCAAAGACAGAATTTCTTATTTCCTCTTCACTGGTGAAAGTCTCAAGTCCTAAGACATAAGAGACTCCTATAGGCATTATATTACACCAAACTAATCAGTGAAACTGTGCAAGTGAAAACAGATAGGTCTACAGCTTCCAAAGTTCCTCAAACAATTCCACAGGCCAGCGAAACGCCCATAATAAGGAGGAAGCTTCTGTCAGTTTTCACTTCACTGCTTACCTTTGCTGGGTGTCTTATACTGTACTACAGGAAAGGAATTCACCCCCTGGTGCTCAAAGCCTTGGTCGTACCCATTCAACCGACATCTTTGCTTTCCTTTGCTCTCTCTGGCCAAGCAAAGCATTGTACCCAGGAGTGTTTGCCGTGAAACGGTCTAGTCCTCTCTAGCATATCCCTGCCCCAGTTCACGGCATAGCCAAACGTTATTTTTGCTTTCACGATAACCCCTCTGCCTATCATGCATTCCTCTCAGCTCCCTACATTTATCCCTTCACATTAAACAATACAGATTGCTCTTTTCTGAAGAGCATTATGAAATAGGTACTTCACACCTATTTGTTCCTTCTGGCACAGAGGGAATGAAATACAGGACATGTACGTTTATTCCTTTCATTACTTCTCTTACGACCTCGTTCAAAAAATAAATGAAAATAAGATACTTTTACCTTGAGTATTTCTTTCAGTTCTTCCATAGTCTGTTTATTGGCTACTTCATCGTGGACTGTTTGGCCACAGTTTTTAACCACAGACTCCATGACCTGCAAGGGCAAAGGGCAATATTAACCTGCCACTTTCTTCCTTCTCCAAGGCCTATGGTGCATAAACAAAAGGGGTAGAGTCTCATCACATGCTACAGCATATTGCAGCCAGTACATTAAGAAGGGAGCACTATTTACGCAACACTTCAAATCCTTAAGGAAGTGTTAGTCAAGCCAGAGAAAGCCACATCGTCACTCTTGAGAGTAATCCATAGTTCAGTGTCACGGTGGCCTCTGTACCCTTCCTATTTAGAAACCCAGGGTCAAGCAGACAGACCCCCCCCCAAGGACAACGTCTCAAGTAGTAGCAGCTGTCTGTTTCTAGCTCTGATATAGAACTAAAGAATGAAACAACTGGTCTGCCAGTGAGGCACAAAACCTCTGAAATGGAGCCAGGAGAAGTTGTGGCTCTGACACTCCCAGGGCAGGGCAGAGAGAACCTTGTGCAGCCTTCACAACCCAGAAAGCAGGCTTATCAAAGATGTGAAATTCTCTGGCCCATGAACTAGGCCCTTACAGTGCTAGAGTTTTGGGCTGAAGTTACCTCTAATGCGTAGAGTGCCACATGCGGATTCTTGTCATTGACTTTCTTCTTGATAGCATTGACTGCATATTTTGCTCTGGATAAAGGAAAATGAGTACAAGCCCTCAGGGAAGCAAGAATCTGCAAGAAGATTCCAGCTGCTGCTGATAATCCACTAACCCCCCCCCCCCAAAAAAAAAGGATAGAGTTAGTTCATAGTATACACGGTTCCCGCAAGGTAATCTGGAAACAGAAGGAACAAACACATTCAGGCTTGAGTTTCACTCAGGATTTCAGGCCAGATATAATCTGCAGCTCCTAAGATTAGGAAGAGCACCTCAAAACACCAAGACATGTTGCCTTTTTGCCACTTTCCTAAAGCAGGACAACAAGCAGCGTTCTACGGCACTTTGGCAAGTCCGAGACCCTTGCACCTCATCCAGGGAACGCGGCAGACAAGGAGACCAGCACTTACAGCGTGTCAAAAGGCAAAAGAGCACTTACTGGGTATCTCCCTGGCGAATCATATCACAGATCTGAAGGATGGATTCCCAGTCTGTTTCCAGCAGAAGCTGACTAGTAGCTTTATCTGCAAAGAATGGCAATACCTGCTAAGCTACTTCAAGGGTTCCCTGCTGGCCTCGGCAGGCGACG